TTGGATAAGAAATAATGAAATAAGGATATAAATTTACTACTTTTATACCTCAAGGGCTGTAGAAAAGAAACACCAGTAAACTCTTATATTTACAAATTGAAAAAAGTAGAAGATTTAAATTATGCTTCCCTACGTCATTTCTCTGTTTATGTACATGTGTCCTATATATATATAGGAATACATACGTATATAAATACATACACACACAATTGGATGTGCCCCTTCCTAGTGTGGGGAGAGGGGAGACAGACCCTAATGTGGAGACAGTCTCAGGAGAAGTCGCAGAATGGAACAAGATAGTCTATGGGAGCAAGGTGAGTCAGGAACCTAAGGGTGTAGTGAATACTACCTCTCATCATAGTGAGACACTCCAGGGAGTTGATGGTTTGTTGTGTGGGTTTTTTTTTTAAAGATTTTACTTATTTATTTCAGACAGAGAGAGAGAGCATGAGCACAAGCAGTGGGGAGGGGCAGAGAGAGAAGCAGGCTCCTGGCTGAGCAGGGAGCCCAGTGCAGGGCTTGATCCCAAGACCCTGGGATCATGACCTGAGCCAAAAGCAGATGCCTAACCAACTGAGCCACCTAGGTGCCCCAGGGAGTTGATGGTTAACTGTTAGTGAATGTATTTTGTCTTGCTCCAATATAGAGTGCTCTCAGGAGCTATTATTTTTGAAGTTTGGAGGCAGTTTCAAAGCTTGCCTGCTCCTCTGTTAAGTAGTGACTTCTTAGGCCCAATCCAAAGAACAGCCAGTCAAATTCTTGTGGGGGTTTAGTTGTGAGTGTAATTCCCCTATGAAATTGTTCTGTCTTGGGCCCTGGTTTCACCATGCCTGGTGGAAGAGGACCAGATCCCCGATGGGTTCCATGTTGGAGGATCTTTTTTTTTTTAAAGATTTTATTTATTTGTCAGAGAGAGAGAGAGAGAACAAGCAGGGGGAGCGGCAGGCAGAGGGAGGGGGAGAAGCAGGCTCCCCACTGAGCAGGGAGCCCAACGCAGGACTTAATCCCAGGACCCTGGGATCATGACCTGAGCCAAAGGCAGACTCTTAACCGACTGAGCCACCCACGCGCCCCTCGTGTTGGAGGATCCACTGCCCTTTTCCAAGTGCTGGGATTGGGAAGATCATAGGAACCGTGAGTTGAAGATATTTTGAAGTTACTACTTCCCAGAACTGTCTCACCTTTTGAGCAAGCCTAGGAGAGAAACAAATGGAAATGAAACATAAAGCTAGTGCAAAGAGCTTGAGCCATGAAGCCAGACGGACTTGGATTTGAATCTTACCTCTGGCAGTTACGGACAGAAGGATGTTTGTAAGAGTTATGTAAGTATTAGGGCAGCTATCTGGTGCCTCATTTGTAGATTAGAGGTATGGATGCCCTACAAGGATGTTGTAAGGAGTAATTGAAATACGTACAAGGGACATCCAGATCGTGACCAAAGAAATGTCAGTTTCCATCTTCCAGATCCATCCTACAGATGTTTAACTGGGCATTTGCTCCATACAGTTCTCTGTGCTAGGTATATGGGAGAGGCAGGATCAAAGAAGAGGACCTATATTTAGCTCTAACATGTACACAAACAACAACAGAAGAACTCTATCCACACCAGTCTCCTTGCTATTTCTGGAACATCGGGCAAGCTCCTGGCTTGGCACTGGGACACTCGCTGTCCCCTCTTCCTGGAATTCTTATCTCCTACCCTTGACCTCTCTCCGATCTTCTATATTATCTTCTCAGCGAGGCTTTCCCTGATCATCCTGCCTAAGATGGAACTCCCTGGGGCCAGTACTCCCCATCCCACTTGCCTGTTCACTTGTTTTTCCCTCTGATAAATATGTAGTTTATGCGTGTGTGTTTTCTGTCATACCAAGCTCCTCCTACCTCTTCAGTGTAAACACTCTGATTTCTTTACTGCTCTATTCTCAGTGCCTAGAACATTGCATGACCTAGGTACTCAATAAGTGCTTTTGGAATAGATGAATGATCAGATGACTTAATTTTAGCTACAGGGAGGGTCACATGCCAAGGTCCAGTGGCCAGAAGAACAGCAGGTGTGGTAGGGACTGTAGTAGTTTCCTATGGCTGCTGTAACAGATGATCACAAACTCAGTGGCTTAAAACAACACAAATTTATTATCTTTTAACAGTTCTGTAGGTCAGAAGCCTGAGATAGGTCTCACTGGGCAAAAATGAAGGTCCTTGGCAGGGCTACCTTCCTCTGTAGAGTCTCCCGGGGGGATTTGTTTCCTTGACTTTGCTGGCTTCTGGAGGCTGCCTGTACCCCCTGGTCTATGGGTCCCTTCCTCCACCTTCTAAGCTGATAGTGAGGTTGGGTCTTCACGTCACATCACTGACCTCTTCTTCTGCCTCCCTCTTCCACCCTGAAAGACCCTTGTGATTCCACTGGGCCCACCTGGGGAGTTCAGGACACGCTGCTTATTCTCAGGTCAGCTAGCCTTAATCCCACCGGCGACTTAATTCCCCTTTGCTATGTACCGAAACATACATATAGGTTCTGGGAACCGGGACATGGACATCTTTGGGGATCTATTATTCTGCCTCCTGTAGAGTCTAACAAGTGAGACATTTTGCCTAGAACCTAAGGCAGATTTCATCCTAAGCAGCCATGATTGCCAAGATTTAATATGTGGGGGAGCTCCTGGGTGGCTCTGTCACTTGAGCGTCTGCCTTTGGCTCAGGTCATGATCTCAGGTCCTGGGATTGAACTCTCTGCTTAGCGGGGAGTCTGCTTCTCCCTCTCCCTCCACCTGCCGCTCCACCTGCTTGTATTTTCTCTCTCTCTCTCTCTCTGTCAAATAAATAAATAAAATCTCTCTCTAAAAAAAAAGATTTAACATGTGAGCTTTATCTGGAAGGTGCTAGGAAGTTGCTTTGGAGTGAGGTGGTGGAACGGAGGCTTTAGGAGATGAATATGGACTTAGAGCAGGTATTTAGGACATTCATCTCTACCTTTTGAAAAGCAATTAACTTCCATTTCCCTCTCCTATGTATAGAAAGCTAGGTTCTTATTTAGAATTTCCCCCAAAAAAGTAGGGTGCACTTATACTGTCCTTTTAAAAACCACCCTGTGATATTATATGCACAACCTGTATACTTAGAGACCCATAAAACCCTGCTACACACAGGCATACTCACACAAGCATACGCGTTTCCTCGTATGCGCACCCACTGCCTCGCCCTGTTCTTGGGATCTCTTTTCTCTGGCTCTCCATGGCCCTCTTTTTTTCTCTGCTTTGCCACACCTGAGTGATCTGTATCTTCCTATCAAGCCTACTCTGGCAGTGGTTCTCACAGAGTCATTGTATAAACATCCCCTAGGAGGCATGTAAAAATCTCCAGGGAGATCTCTATAGTTTGAAAAAGTCTGCCCTCCCTCACCTTTACCATGATTCTGCCATGATTTAATACAACTTCCTCGGTTGGTTCTTCTCCCTAAAACCCACTGAGAATTTAATAAATATTAAACACCTGGTTTTGAATGGTGTCTGATGACAATTTCTTACGCTTTGATTAACCTCTTGAAAGCAGTCCAATAGAACTTTCTGTGATGATAGAATTGTTCTATATCTGTGCTACCCAACATGGTGGTTCCAGCCACACGTGGCTGTGGAGCTCTTGAAATGGACACACAGGAAAAATAGAGGACCTGCTTACTAAACCAGAGGACATTTAATAAATGATAACTCACAATTTTGTTTCGAATTGCTTTTTCAGTTGTGGGGTATCTTTTCTTCTTCTTTCTTCTTTCTTCTTATCAAACTAAGGGGCATCTGGGTGGCTCAGTCTTTTGGGCGTCTGCCTTAGGCTCAGGTCATGATCCCCAGGTCCTAGGATCGAGTCCCACATCAGGCTCCTTGCTCAGCAGGGAGTCTGCTTCTCCCTCTACCCTTCCCCCCCTGCTCATGATCTCTCACTCAAATAAATAAATAAAATCTTTAAAAAAAAAGTCAAAATACGTTCACCTGGGTGTAATTGTACTCCTTTTACTCTTTCCTAGACTCATTTTGATTGATAACTACATTTTTGATTCAAGTACCTGTAGGTCGCCAAACAAATGATTCTTTCTCTTGCCTCTCTTCCCCTTCCTGATATATATCAGCTATATTGAGATATAATCCACATCTGATACAAAGCAGTCAAAGTATATAAGTATATTCACAGAGTTGTGGAAACGTGAACACAGTGGATTTTATAGCATTTTCATCACCTGGAGAAGAAACTCCATCCTCATTAGCAGTCCTGTCCACTTCTCCCCCACCTTCTTCCCCTCCCTAGCCAATTAGTAATTGACTTCCTGTCTGTATGGATTTGCCTATTCTGAACATTTCGTATCAGTGGAATCATACAGTATGTGGTCCTTTGTGACTGGCTTCTTGCACTTAGCATGGTGTTTTTAGGGGTCATCCGTGTTGTAGTAATTCATTGCTTTTCACTGCCAGTAATATTCCATTGTATGGATATGTCACATTTTATTTATCCATTCATCAGTTGATGGACATTTGGGTTGTTTCCACCTTAGTTGCTAGAATTATGCTGCTGTGAACATTGATGCACAAGTTTTTGGGTGAACATGTGTTTTCCTTTTTCTTGGGTATGTATCTAAGGAGTGGAATTGTTTAGCGATATGGTAACTCTATGTTTAACTTTTTAAGACACTGCCAGACAATTTTCCAAAGTGCCTGCAACATTTCACCTTGCTACCAGTAATACATGAGAGTTTCAGTTTCTCCACATCCTTGCCAACACTTGTTATTCTTGTCTTTTTGACATCCTTATAGCCAAGCTGGGGGGTGTGAAGTGATACCTCACTGTGGTTTTGATTTGCATTTCCCTGATGGCTGATGATGTTGAGCATCTTTCCATGTGCTTATTGGCCATTTGAATATCTTCTCTGAAGAAATGTCTGTTCAGAGCCTTTGCCCATTTTTTTAATTGAATGATTTGTCTTCCTTTCTGTTGTCTTCATTTGGCCTGAACAGGATGCTGATATGCTCACTGGCGATGAGCAAGTATGGAAGGAAGTTCAAGAATCCTTGAAAAAAATTGAAGAACTGAAGGCACATTGGAGTATCCTTTTACTTGTGGATTGAGCCATACCATTGGGACTGTTGCTTCTTTATTGGTTGGAGTTTGGCGTTAATGAAGTCAAGTCCATGGTTTGACCTCTGTCTGAGCCAGTGAGTTTCATTCTGTTTCATGGTCATAGGCTGCATCCCAAATCCCAGCCAACAGTTTGGGTAATGGCTAGGGCAGAGTATGGCAGGATCAGCATGAATACCTCACCACCATTAGATAGTAACCAAAACTCATGGCCAGTAATAGGACAGTAAGTAGTAGTCTCTATATGTACTAGGTAACAGATTTCTGTATTCCTTTCCTCCCACAACCTACATCTCTAGGAAAGAATAACTTAGAATCCTAAAAAGTTAGTATCATTGACTCTCAGATCTAGAAGTTCATATTAAATCAACCATGACTACCATGACAGAGGGAGTTGCTGCACAGTAAATTTTCTGGGCATAAATAGTTAAGGACCATGAGTGGGTCAAAGTTCAGAGTAAGGAGAGAGAGCTTATGCTGGAGGTCATCTGGGGAGGCCACACTGATGTTGTACTGGGTAAGTGGTAGTCCAAATCAAGGACAGGGTTTGAATGGACAGAGGCTGAGAGGGAGGTTGCTTCCAGTAGGGGAGTTCACTTGAGCAAAAAACGTGACCAAGGGAAACCCCAAGGCCAAAAGAAATAGACCAAGGTAGATGAAAAAGATCGTGCAAGGTCTTTCAGATGCCTTGGGGAAATTAGATCCCCAACAATAAGAACATCTACAAATGAAGTTTCTATCTACAATGTTTTTTAAAGAATGGTACAGAATAGGAGAGGTAGAATGGAGAAATTGCTCTTGTTTTTAAAGGTGAAAGAAGTATCTTCTGAAATCTGAACGGGGTTGTTTTTTGCTTGTTGAAGTTTGGTAAAGAATCTGTAACTGATTACTAAAGTAATGGAAAAGGGAGCTGTGATCAGCCCGAGGCTGCATGAGTTCACCAAGAGCAAGTGAGTCTGCAGAGACATGGATTTCTTTGGTAAAGTTTGTATGTGGATTTCGGGAAGAGGCTCAATTAAAACCAGTCAAGAAATTGATGCTAGATGCTAGCATGGCCAGACAGCTTTCTAAATGCTTGAATGGCTTTCCTGAGAAAATGATGCCCCTGTGGTCACTGTGACTCTGGAGTGCTCTGTTCCCCACCTTGACTTTGACTGCCTTTGACTCTGTGCCTTGAATGGAGATACAGAGCACAGGGTCCTCAGATTCCCAATGGTTATAGGTCAAGGGAATGGCAGAGGTTGGGATGACAGAATCCAGAGCTCAAGATCCCCGAAGCCTTGAATGATGCCTGAATCTAAAAAGGTGAAATTCAACAAGAATATATATAAAATCTTCTATTTGGGTCAAAGAGTTTAAGTGTGTAGACATCAAGCTTACCAGCAGAACATGTGGAACAATTTTAGGGTTTCAGTACACAGCAAAATTTAATCAAGTTTAAGAGGATGATATAACCCCTCAAAAAGCTACTGTGATCTCGGGCTGCATTAACGGTGACTAGGAAATGAGAAAGGTGATCTGTGAGTCTGATCATATCCAGAGTTTTGGGTCCACTTGGGAGTAGGGCATATTAAGAAGAATCTAGAAAAATTGAAATAAGTTGTGAGGAGTGGAGCCAGGATCCAAATGGAGTTTGCAACCCTGTCTGTAGGCAGGATGGGAGATACTGGGAAAACAGTCAGATCTGGAAAGAAGAGGGGGCCCTTCTTGGGCTCAAAAAAACTGTTCTTACTGCAGAGAAGTAGGATCGTTCTCTCTGCTCCCCTGCCATGGAATTGGGGCCCTGGATGACCCAGCCACAGTCGGGTCTCAGCGGGACAAGGCTTCACGGAAAAAGGACTCTGTGCCAAGTGATCTGCCGGTTGCAGCCCACCTTCTGGTGCACACAACCCTGCCCTCACAACTCTCACACCTGCTTTGGTACATACATACTTGAGGGGCATCAGAGGCACAGTGGTCAACTCTGGGAGGTGAAAGAAGTTTCCACAGAGGAGGTTATCATTCTGTCTGCTTCGGGGAGGTTCTCCACCCCCGCTTCCAGCTAGAGCTCAGCTCCTCCCTGGAACAGAATGACTTGTATGCAACACCAAACAAATACCAGGGACTACATTTTTGAGCAAATACAGTGTCAGCATCCGCTTGGGGGAAAAGCCTCTTAGTTAAAATTACTCAATTTTTTTGCTCACTGGTGTGTTTTATAGGAGAGGGTTGCCTTGTTTGCCAGCAGACAGTTGCCAGGGTTGTGAAGGAAAATTGGCATGCGGTCCCTTCCAGCTTGCGGGGGATAAAGTAGATGTATTCCTATCAGTGGCTGCAGAATATCACATCTGGTTTTTATTTCTAAGGCTTGTCACCTAAAACCTCTTTCAAATGAGTTGGAGCATATATTAAATGAGTGGGCGAATAGTCATGGAGGTCAAACAGCACAACGTTAAAATAAGGCGCAAAGTCTTGCCACAGAAATGTCTAGCGTTGTGTAAGAGACAGTCATTCCTCCTGATAGTTCGTCAAATATCTAATCCTGGAATGAAAAACCACAGAGGTTAGACTGGCAATCTGTTACAAAATCAGTGTGTTGCCTGAGATACTGCTCCCCCCAACCTCTGGGGATCCATTCGGCACACTTTATCCATACACGTCAGATGAATACAAAAGAAGTCACCGACTCACTTTTCTTCAATAAATGCACCTCGCCTGAGACCAGAGTCAACTCCTCAGAGACAGGACTCATCCTAAAATTACAGGATAGTATACAAGAAGTGTGAAATAAAGGCCTTCAGCTGTGCGTTGTGGTGCTTGCAAATCTCACCAAGGAAGTCGTGCCTTGGGGGTAAGGTGCTGTGCTTCCAGGGGGCCCCCACTGAAAAAAAACTCGCATTTCCCATGAGGGTTCATAAGGACGTTAGTCCCCACTCCTACAGGTGGCTTGACTGGATTATTACAAGTGTTTGCTAACATTCTGGAAGGCAGCACCACCGGGTTGCAGGGAGGTTAGGAGGGGTGGATGTTGGGGGGGGAGGCGGGATAAAGGGGCACTGGAGCCTGCCCTCAATTCAGGGTGGGGCTGAAGAGACTGGGCTGATGGTGGCGAGGGGTGTGGGTAGATGGGCGTTCAGTCCACTGGACCGTTTTCTTTATGCCTAGTCGCCGTGAGAGGTCACGTGGCTTTAAGCGCTCCGGCGACATTCTCAGAGCCTCAGATCTGACCAATGACAGAAGTAGCTCAGATTGAAATCCAGCTTTAGCTCCAGCCAAAGGCTCTGCCATTTCTGCTGCATCTGAAATCTGCAACCCCTTTCGCTCGAGTGGAGTACGGCTCCTGAAAGCAGGAGGATGTGGAGCTGTGTGGGTTGAAGGGGGTGTGGGGGGGCCTGCACCTCCCCACACCTAAAACCCCAGCAGCAGCGCAGGAAGAGAAGTGTGTGCATCCCAGGTGCCCGCACTCTGGCCTGCAGCTGTGCTTCCATGGTGTTTAGTGGCGGGGGGGCGGGGGGGTGCATGGGCATTCAGGGCACGCTCCACGCTCCCTATGGTACGTCCTCAGGCCTCTGGCTGCCTCCCAAAGAGGGCAGGGAATACTAGCAGTTTTAAAAAAGGGTGATCACGGGGCGCCTGCGTGGCTCAGTCGGTGAAGCATCTGCCTTCAGCTCAGGTCATGATCTCAGGGTTCTGGGATCGAGTCCCATTTTGGGCTCCCTGCTCAGCAGGGAGCCTGCTTCTCCCTCCCCCTCTGCCCCTCCCCCCTGCATGTGCTCTCTCTCTCTCAAGTAAATAAATGAAATCTTCAAAAAATAAAATAAAATAAAAAAGGGCTATCACACCAAGGCTGCACGAGAGGAAGTTATGGACTCATAGTGAATCAGAGTTGCTCATAAGTGGGCATTGAGTCTTCTCTCTGTCCTTTTTAATTTTTTTTTTTAGAGGTTTATTTGACAGAGACAGAGCAGGGGGATGGGGCAGAGGGAGAAAGAGAATCTCCAGCAGACTCAATGCTGAGCGCAGAGCCCAGAGCCTGTCAAGGGGCTCGATCTCATGACCCTGAGGTCATGACCTGAGCCCAAGTCCAGACTCAGACACTTAACCAGCCCTGCCACCCAGGTGCCCCTCTCTGCCCTTTTTAAACCTGCAGTTTATGTGCATGAGCCCTGTTCTTAATATTATCTTTTACTTTGGAGGTTCAAAATAAGAATATCTTTTTTGTTGTTGTTGTTAAGTACAGGCTTGGATCCCTTTTGTTTTATAATAAAAAAAACTTCAATGAGACCCAGTGGAGATGTATTTCTTCAAGTTGCTTCCTTCGTTTGTGCCTGTAGGTCATGTACTTGGCTTCCTGTGTGCCCGAGGTTCAGATGACATAGAGGCAAAAAATGAGCTCCTCCTTCTTAAAATGGAATCCGTCTGAAGTTTCTTCCATTTTAGATCTGTTTTGTAACAGAAGCTAACACAGTACATAATTTAAACTGAACTAACTGAATTGGTAGTTGAGCTTAATACACAGCTGCATTATTTCATGGCTGGCTTTAAAAAGAATCCATACAGGAGTACGAAGAAAGAAGAGTTCTTTGGAAATCCCGATCCCCCAAAGTACAGGCTTGGTTGGAAGATGGTTTGTTGATGTAAACAGAATTTGCTTCTTTGAGATGCCACTTAACCGTTTTTGTTTCTCAAGTATGTTTTCAGGCAGCTCATCTGTGTAAAATAATGGGCTCTTCCTTCCCTCCTGTGCCTGGGAGCTCTTCAGCTTTGTAGAGAATCTCATATTACTTGTTTTCTTGGTGAAGACAATGAATCCTTAACTAAGGTTAATAACAGAGTGGGAACAGGTGCTGGCCATGTGCCAGACGATCATCAGCAGCAACGCTGAACGCCTTCCCGATATCAACATCTACCAGCTGAAGGTGCTCGACTGTGCTATGGATGCGTGCATCAACCTCGGTCTGCTGGAGGAGGCCTTGTTCTACGGGATCCGGACCATGGAGCCATACAGGTGAGTGTCCGGGAGAGGGCCAGAGTCGAGGCTGCAGTGTCTTCTCTGGGCTGGAAGACTGACATCCTGAAGTCACTCCGATGGCCACTTTATTGCGTGTCCCCATTTTGTTCGTTGTTCCTGAGGCTCCTGTCGCACGTGTCAGGCCCTGTGGGGGTGCGGAGACTGATGAGATGCTGTCTCTGTGGAGTCGGGGATTCCAGTGTTGTATGCTGCTTGCGGCAACGGGGCAGAGGCAGAGTGCGGGGGCGGGGGGGCAGCCGCGGGGGCCCAGGGCTCGGCCCCAGCTTGGCCGGGGTGGGGGCTGTGTCATTTGCCTCTGGGGCCCTTGGTCTGGCTGACTGATGGTGGTCTCTAACGTTTGTCAGGGCTTTATGGTTCCTGGGGTGCTTCACTGGAATCAAGTGACCCCATAACCGCCTTCTGACCCACGCAGGAGAGCAGGGAGACCTCGGTGCTCAGAAGTGTCAGGGAGTCAGGTGAAGGAGCAGTTGCTACTTAGTTGTTTCTTGACTGTCCGCAGCTCCTTCAGACCAGGGGTGTGTTGTCCCCTGATGCCTTTGTAACTCACAGGAGCTTTGGCAGCGCTGAAGTCTGGTGCTGGTGGGTGCGGGACCCCGTTTGCGGAGGGCCGAGAACGTGAGTTTGGAAGTAGAGGCAGATCAGTCCGGGGGGGAGGGCGTGGCGTCATTCATACCGTCAGCTGAGGTGGGAGCAACCATCTCGAACACAGGACAAGGTCCCTCACCGTTGGGAAGGCGCCCTGAAGCCTGGGGGGCCGGGGGCGGGGGAGGTCCCTGAGAGTGGGGGCGCCATTCTGGGTGGCACTGAAGGCCAGGCAAACACAGTGTCCGCCCTGAGGGGCCAAGCAGAGGGACAGTCCAGCTCCCAGCCTCCCCCGTGGGGGGCAACAGGCAGGGGAGGGGCTCTAAGCGAAGGAGGGTGGGCAGCAAGGGTGCACAGACCAGCCACGGCCCCGGGCCCCAGGGTGACCTGAGGGTGTTTTCAGAGCTTCTGAAGGTGGCTCCTTCCCCTGCTTGCGGTCGAACAACTCTGGAATCCAGACTGTGAGTCAGCTCACATCAAACTTGCAGGCGATTACCTTCAGGGCTGAGACTGTAGACTTTCCCATGAGCATCAAATGTCTGCTTGGGATGATGAATCTTGTGGGTTTTCAGAAAATATGAACCGAGCACAAAGAGATAAGGCTTCGTTCTCTGAGCCTAGGTGTTGCAATGAGAGGCGGGTTGGGACCGTTGGTGTCACCTCTCTGAACCCCAGGGCTGGGTCTCGGGAAGCCAAACCACGGGCTGAGCGGATGGACTGAGGCCGGGAGACGCAGGCTGGGCAGACCTTCCTTCCTGCAGGTGCCCCCGAAGCCCCTTGCCCCACACTCTGGCTAGCGCTGGACCTGCACCCATCCCCCGCCCCCAGGCTGCCCTCCGGCTTCTCTGAGCACAGACACTCGACACTGGTCCCCCACCTCGATGGTGCTGCTTCTGCACACAATTTTGAATCCTCTCCCCACACCTATCATGGCTTCTCTGAAGGACTAATTTACCCCTTAATTAACTGACTTGAGTCAAACAGAGAGGCCTTTCTCGTGAGGCCACATCCACAAGAATGGACTCCATGTTGTTTGGAATACATCTGGTTATATTTTCCTGGTGTTTGGCAGATCACACTCTGTGCTTACGCCGGGTGACAGATTTCCTAGCCTCCCTCAGTTTCTCTTCCCCAGAGCTTGTTAAGAAGTAGCTGTGCAGTGGTCTATGTTTCCAGAAATCCCGTCTTCATTGATCGATCCACTTCAAACCAGTGGGTTCTGACCGGTTTACTTGCAGCAGTATTTATTGTAGGGGAAGTAACCCAGTGCTGACGGAGCAGTGAGGGGGATGCTGGCGTACTTGGCCTTTCTTCCCGTTAGCTCAGCAAAAGTGAAAACAAGGAACAAATGGGTCAGGTGCTCTACAAGCCCTTTAACAATCCGGAGGCAGGAATCCGAGAGTTGGTGGCGGTTTCTGCCCCCCACATGTGTGTGAGCCTGTGGGCCGCCAGCCACTGACTCGGTCTCCCTGCAGATGCGCAAGTGGGCCCTCGGGTCCCCTTTAGCCAAGAATGTGGGCAGTTAGCTTGGCATGAGTTACTGAGAGGTGACGGGACTGCCACCTGCTCTAACAGTTTTACAATGTTAATACACTGTTTGCAACACCTAGATTGAGGTCAAGACTCTGGGGATGATGTTCTCCCTCCTCACCTGGGCTAAATCTTAACTACTGACTTTAAAGGAGAAGGTGTCCACATTCTGGTTTTATCCAAATCACCGCATTGCTCTCGGCTCCCTTCTTGCTGCCGTCATTTATTTTGACTTGATAGAAGTAAGTTCCTTTTATGACGCAAAACAGTATTAAGATCTTTGTTTCATGGGGTGCCTGGGTGGCTCAGTCAGTTAAGCGTCTGCCTTCAGCTCAGGTCATGATCCCGGGGTCCTGGGATCGAGCCCTGCGTCAGGCTCCCTGCTCAACGGGGAGTCTGCTCCCTCTGCCTGCTGTTCTCCCCCTGCTCGTGCTTTCTCTCTCTCTCTCTTTATCTCTCTCAAATAAATAAATTAAATCTTCAAAAAAAAATCTTTGTTTCATAAAGTAGGTTGGCATTAATTCACACACAACAAAATTTATCATCTTTAGCTCATACTGTTTCTTCTGAGAGCATCTGTGATTATATATGCACGGTCATCTGTCCTGTAGCACTTTGAACATTAAGCAGAAAGAAAGCAGTTTAAAGGTATTTCATAAATTTTCATTAAAAAATGTAATTAAATAATCTTAACCACAAGATGAATTGAGTTGCAAAAGTTCGTTTGCCAGTGGTAATTTAGAGCTTGGGAAGCAAAGTTTTCCTGTTGAAGAAGGCATGAAGGATTATGGCAGTATCAGCCAACCAGCCCTTGAAACTCTGGACCCTAATATCACTGGTGTCTGCTACACATTTGTGTAAAAATAGAAAGAAATATAAAAACAAAGCGAATATAGTTTTGAACTTAGAATTTAAATTATGTTGAATATAAAATCAGAGTTGAATTTCTTTAGGACCCAAAGAAAGATCTAGAGATACAGAGGCTTGTTAAGTCCTTGAGGAGGACTTTTGGTGTATCCACATGTGTTCTGGCAACTTAACTTTTGGTTTAAGAATAGCATAGACTTCTGGGAAAGGACTTTCCTAAAGAACACAAATAAAAATTACCCTCATCTTTCAAACTCCTGTTCCACTCCCTAAAGATAACCATGGTTAAGTTTCTTTCCTGAAGTTTTCAGTGTGTGTACATAAACTTCCGTTTGTAACACACTTGCCTAATTTTTTCAAGCCCCAGTTCTTCTCCTCTCTTTTCCCCAGTGGTTCTCATGTGCTCAGAGACTCTTGTTTTCCCTCTGTCTCACTTCTCCCCTCAAAACTCACTCAGGCTCTTCCCTTTTTCTCCCTTTCCTGTCTGTCTCCCCTCATCTCTTTCTTGTGGAGAGACTCAGTTCCAGTCTGCATCTGCTAGATGTGTCTGGTGAGGTGGTGGGTGAGGAAGGGAGAAGGGAAGGAGAAGCCAAGAAGTCTACTGAGTGGGCAGAGAGAAGAAAATCCCCTGTTCTGGAACTGGCTGTTTTCATTTTACTACAAAGCGTGGACATCAGTCCAGATCAGCTCCTGAATATCCACCTTTCTTTTTAACAGGTCTATAGAATTTCATCTTAGGAATGTACCATAATTTGTAGACTAACCCCTATTTCCATTTCTGTTTACTCTATCAAGAAATACTGCCATTAACATCCACATAGTTGAATCTTTGTGTGCTGATAGGACCGACTCCATAGGGCAAATCCATGTGATAAATTCCTAAATGCTAACTCACTGCATCAAAATGTACATTCATTTTAACTGGAGATAGCAACCCCCAAATTGTATCCGCCATCCACCAAGCTGTCACTTTCCTCAGAAGCACTGAGAACGGGTGACATGATGTTGATTATATCTGATCTGAATTCATTTCAAAATATATAGGGGTCTTCCCCTTTTCCTTGACCAAAGCCTGCTCTTACAGGATGAGATTTGGTGGTATTGACCAACAACATAGTGTTTTGTGGTAGAGGGAAGGACATTTTTGTGAGTGTCCTGGGAAGAGCAGAACATGAACCGCGAAGGGGCTCCAAGCGTGTGTGGGATCAGAGACTGGGGAGCGGTGTGACTCCCCCTTGTGGATTGAAAAGCATGCTCTCCGCTCACGTGGAGTCCGGTGCCTTGCTGGCAGCCATGGTGGCGGAGCGGGAGTGGAAGGCTCTGGGAGTCTGTGCGTGTGACCTGTTTCCCAGCCAGGTGTTTGGGACTCCGAGATCGCCAGGGGTCACACAACAGCCCTGCCATTTTCATTTTGCCAGCCATTCTTGAACGTTCCCCCCGCCCCAAAGCTTTCGCAGATAGGTTGATAAAATGCAAGGTTCTATCACAGCAGTACCCACCACTGCTGTTTTCAAGCCGGCTTCTCTTCTGAAGACCTACAGTTGCTCTTTTGTGTGTTTTTGTCATCGATCAATATAACATGGTGATCCAGGGCCCAGCGGGGTGTGCAGGTGCCGTGCGGGCCTGGCAGAGCGCTGGTCACTATCACTCACCGGGCACTTACCTGGGCCTGCCTGTGCCCAACCCGCATCCCTGCTCCCCACAGATGTGGTCAGGTTGCCCTGTGATGATGCTTATGTCCGTGTACCCGTCACTGAAGCTCACGCCTAAAAGGCAGGGTCCTTGGCTGGGGTGTCTAGGGTGGAACTTTTCTCTGCCGCACTCACAGCGTGGGACTCAGAGGACACACCGGAGCCAGGTCTCTACCCAGGAGGGAACTTGAGTGCCCACACTCCGTGCAATGTTCTGGTCATTTCCTTTGCTGGCCACCTGTTTTCTGTGGTGAGATTTACAGAACTGTCTCCCCCAGTGAGTGGGGAACAAATGTTTTATTCTCT